TTAGCCTTTATACAAACGAATCAACAAACACAATATTTGCATATTACACAACCATAAATTCCCCTTATAAATATACATCCTCTCCGATAATTTTAAGCTACCAACAAGACGTGCTTAAAATATTTTCATCAAGCCACTCACGTGAAAGGGGTAGTTTCCTTATATCGTATAACCACAATCATTTTCGATAAACATATATTATTTTATGCCACAAACAGAATATTTCCCTTAGTATAAACGATTCATCGAATGACGTGACATTTCAAGAAAGCCATTTCGAACGACTTTGTACAAGAGAGCGCGTGAGCGAGATAACAACGTTGGCTATCATTTTCGTGGAAATGAAATCATCTTGCGGGAAAAGGGCCGGTAATGATAGCTCCTTAAAATTCAACGTAACAAAGTGGCAGCCGAATATCGTGTGTCGATGCCTTTGTACCGTCACCAGCGAAAATTAGTAGCCGGTGTAACGGGACCGCGAGTGGTTAACTCGCACAGGGGCGTTATGTACCCTGAAACTGGTTGCTGTGCCGAGAGAAGCTCTACGAACGATACAATAATGGCGGTACCTGTAACTTTGCGGTCGAAAATTTGTCGCGCAGCGAGAATTCGCGCGAACGAAGAATGCCGGACAGGACTCGTAAATCTTCGTCCTACGTTCTTCTGTTACGGTCCTTCAGCAACGAATCCTCGGCTCAGAAAGGACTTCTCATAAGCTCACCGAGTAAACTACCTGCGGGGTAATTGACCCCGGACAGAGATCTACGCTATAAAGCAGGGATGTTCTACATTACAAAGTCCCGAAAGATTTACGATTAGTAGCCATGCACGGTAATTAATTTTATGGATGTACGTGGATAAATTAAGAACATAAATTCGAAAATTTATGTAGAGAAAAATTAGGAAAATTATTGAGACGTTTCTGTTAGAGTGTATATTAACTTTCGTCGGGATATACAATTGTATAAGCAAATTTTTATGTAAAATTTCGAATTTATGTCTTTAATGCAGGATTCGTGGACGTTTTATGACCAGCAGTTCTCGGTTGAAATTTAAGGACAAAGTAAATTAATGGATAATGTGTAAATTTGCTTGTACTATTGTCTATCTTCATGAAAGTTTATTTGCGACAGAAGGTTCTTAATAATTTTTGTAATTTTAGTGGAGTATAAGTAGTATTATTCTTACGGGTTGCGTAAATACAGTGTCAGAATAAATGTATTGTACTAACAAATATTTTTTAAGAGGTTTTAGTTGTTATGTGTTTATTTAAAAATAGTATTATAAGGTTAGTTATTGCTTATTTATTATATACAAAATAGATTCAGATGATAGTGCAATGTGTCTATTTGAACAAGAAGGGAACATTGATATGTTACAAAATTTGTGTGTCAAAAATTAGAATTCTAGTACTTAGAAATTTGGGTATTTAGAAAATTGAAGTCTTAAAAATTCTAGGATTCATAAATTTGGAAATTTAGAAGTTTAGAAATTTAGAAACTTAGAAACTTAAAAACTCAGAAACTCAGAAGCTTAGAAGTTTAGAAATTTAGAAGCTTAGAAACTTAGAAACATAGAGACTTAGAAGCTTAGAAACTTAGAAGCTTAGAAACTTAGAAACTTAGAAACTTAGAAATTTAGAAGCTTAGAAGCTTAGAAACTTAGGAACTTAGAAACTTAGAAACTCAGGAACTCAGAAACTTAGAAGCTTAGAAGCTTAGAAATTTAGAAACTTAGAAACTTAAAAACTCAGAAACTCAGAAGCTTAGAAGTTTAGAAATTTAGAAGCTTAGAAACTTAGAAACATAGAGACTTAGAAGCTTAGAAACTTAGAAACTTAGAAACTTAGAAACTTAGAAACTTAGAACCTTAGAAACTTAGAACCTTAGAAACTTAGAACCTTAGAAACTTGGAAACTTAGAAACTTAGAAGCTTAGGAATTTAGAAACTTAGGAATTTAGAAAATTTAGAAATTGAGGAAATTAAGAAATAATATTTAGAAATTTATAAAACTAGAAACTTGGTAGATTTTAAATTAAAAAATTTTGAAGTTTTGAAGCTTATAAATGTAAAAATTTTTAAATATGAATGTTTCTCAGTTTGTCATTCTGAAATTTTATAGATTTAAAAATTTTAAAGGTTAAGTATAAGTAATACTGTGCAATACCTAAATTTGAGTAGTTATACTTAATGAAATTTTAACCTCGGCGTTCCATCCTCATTTTATAATATTCTTCTAAACAGTTCTTTAAACACATAAATATTTAAGAATCAATAATTTGACAGTGTCTGTATTTTGAAGTTTGTACATGAATTTTCAATTATTTTCTTTCATTAATTTTTGTGTTTTCTCTTACGAAGTAGTAATAGTAAATCGCCGTTATTTTAACAATAGTTGTAATTTAATATCCGTAATGCATACTGAAACTATATGTATGTAAATTAGAAGTTAATTATAATGATTAAGTCTCGATTTCACCCTAAGTATACGCGCTTATGCAGTAAAATGATAAAAAATTTGGGCCAGCCGGTTAAAACGTTCAAAAGCAACGTAATGTCACCGTACCACATAAATGCAATTTGAAATTAACAAAATAAAGTCGTATACTATAAATGGAAACACAAAAACAATGCAGACAGATGTTAACATTATCTTCATAGTGAAGAAAAATATACAAGTTAATTTCTTAACATCACTCTAAAATGCATATTGCAATCAGTATAACAAAAAATTTCGACTGATTGAATCCTCGATTACATGAACCTCAATCAATATCAAATTTAATTAGGAACCCGGTATCAAACGTCAGCTCGAATGCATCCTGAAATTCGTGCCTCAGATCCTCGTTATCGGATATTATCAGTTATATACACATAACTGGGTACAACTTGGTTGAAAGTGTCAAAGCGTTCTTTATCTATCGAAATCCAACATCAGACGACATTCGGGCGTCAGATATTTATCACAAAGTCCATCCGCGCGCTCGCGTACGACGCACGCACGCACGCACAGAGAAAGAACGTCCAGTGGCCCTCGAGTGCCCCTTACGCGCCACTTTTTCAACGGAGAAAAAGATAGGCACACATAGACGGAAAGAGAAAGATAAGGTGAAAGAGATAGAGAAAAAAAACAGAGAAGGAGACAGAGCGCCGGCAAAAGGAAAAAGGGAACGGAACAGGGCATATACCTGTTCCACGCGCATGCACACACACGCACTCACACAGATATGCTCGTCCACGCGCGGCTGTGCGCGCGCACATCCTCCCCAGACATACTCCCCTTAAGCGCACGAGGCCTGGCAAGCACGCGTGCGCCCTGGTACACGCATGCACGCATGCACGCACGCACGCACGCGCACGCTTCGTACAGAACGAATAAAACTAGCCGATTGGTGGGGAGAGAGTGGATGGATGGGGGTCGGCGCGCGCCACGACTCGAAGGTGGGGGGA